ATAGATATTCTTATCAGTAATAGTATCTAAAAGAAGTAATGAAATGGGAAGAACCTGGCCTTCCCTTAAATCAGACCTGTTTTTAAGCCAAATTTCTTATCCTCCCTTACTTCAGTTACTTTCTTCCACTTAATATGCTTCACAGGGTTGCTGTGATGATTAAATTACCTGACAGGTACATATATAAGGGCACTAGTACAATGCCTCATACATAATAGAAACTCTGAAATGTATACCATTAGTACTAGTGGGGTCCAGGAACACAGAGTGATCAGAAAGCTTTGAAGAGGAAAGCCCTGACAGCACCTGACCTCTGATTCAAATCAACTTCAGCCTTTGTAAAAACCACCAAACAATCAGGTTTCCTACATGTCTTAAAATAGCAGCATCTCATGGGGCACTTGGGTAGCTCAGTTGGTTGAGTGCCTGACTTTGGCTCAGGTCATGATCTTCCGGTTCAGGGGCTGGAGCCCCACATCGGGCTCACTGCTGTCAGCCTGTCAGCACATAGCCCACTTCAGATCCTCTGTTCCACTCTCTCTGCCCCCCACCCGGGCTTGCACTCTCCTAAAAATAAATAAATGTTAAAAAAAAAAAAAATCAGCATCCCAATAGTGGCCCAACTGGCCCATTGATTTCTCTTCCCAAATCTGCTCTAGCATTTCCATCTCAGTAGACTCTATCTCCCTGTGGCAGTGTTTCTCTCTTGCAGACCCTCCTTCCCAGCCCCAAGGACCCTGAGTGGGCTTTTCCCATCCTTAGGGGACACTTATTGTTTTGTCCAAAGACCAAAGATAGCATCCTTCCCCTTCTTATGGAAAAACGACTTCTCTCCCACAGGCGTGGTTCTTAATGTGCCTGCTAATCACAATCAGGGTCCTCTGGCCTAGGGGTTGACGCATAACCCTTACTAGACCAATCAGAGATCCCCCCTATATTTTTCAAACTGGCAGTAAAGGACAAATGGTAGAACCTCATTGACTTGATGGAGCTTGAAAGTATGAGTTAAGAACTGCCGTGAGCCCTGGTTCCAACTTTCTGGGGAAAGCCCCTTGGAAAGACTAAAACTAACTTGAAAGAGCAAGGCGAAATGGGACAGCAGTCTTTAAGCACAACCAGCTGTTGCATTCCTGTTTTTTCACGTTGTTTGATATTATGTTCCAATAAATTCATCCTTTCCTGGAGTCCAATTCAAGTGAGCTTTCTGGCTCCTCAGGGAAATCCATGTCACCACAAAATGGCAAGAATGCTGCTTCACCTGCGAGATGACTAGACCCTGGCACTCAATCTCTACCAGGCTCTTCTCCCTCCACTGTCACCCATGAGACTTACTAGGTCACCCTCCCTCCTACCTACTGCTCATCTGCATCCTCCACAGGCAGATAGCTTGGTTACTAAGAACTCCCAAGCATTACATTCAAGGCTCCCTCTCTCAGTCTTAACTTTTTTTCTTCATGAAAATTTGAAAAAATCCCAGAAGAGGATTCTGAATGTTTTGGTTTGGAGAAAGTGTCCATCCCTGGACTAATCAACTATGGCTATGATATTACACACAGACTACTGTGTACACAGACCACTGTGGGCACCACATCACTGCAAACTGACCGTTCCATTCAGAGACCTTCATAATCTGTCCCCATCCTGCCCTTTAAGCTAATCTCCCACCACACAATTACATAAACCCCACAACCCAGATACGATGAATCACTCAACATATTCAGATATATACCACATACCTTCACGGCTCCATGGTTTATTCATTTTATTCCCTCTTCCTCTACTGAACACTATCCTTGTCCTCTCAAAATTCTTGTCCTTAAAGGCCTAGCTAAAAATCCATTCCCCATTGCCCTCCTCTTCCCAAGATTAATCTCTTTATCCTCACCACTCCCATATTCTCTGTTATTTCCTAATGGATGTGTCTTATCTCTCCCACCAGATTTTAAGCTCCTCAGGGTCAGAGACTTCAATATATTAATACATCTTGCTATCTTTCGCCACCCCAGTGCAATAACTGTACTTAATCAGGACTCAATAAATATCTGGCAAATGAATGATCCTTCAGAAATGTTGACTACATATCATCAACTACTGATCACTCAATAACAATAGAACCTCCGGTGCCTGGGAGACTACTTTGCAACCTAACTCCTTAATAGTATCAATACATAAGCTTCGGAAATAGAAAGAACCTACGAAAATACAGTTACGTAGACCTTCACTCTATCTATTCCCCTATCAAGACGGCCAAAGTCAGCCTTGATAAAGGACATCTCTGCTCTTGGTGGCAACACCATAAAATATATTTAAGCAAGGTGTAAAATTTTGTGCTGAGCCAGATTTTCTTCAGTAGACTAAAATGGCTAAAGATTTCCATATACTCTCATCACTATCTTCAGGCAGGAAGAAAAAGATAGGGAATAAGCAGGTTGGTTTTCACCTTCACACAAGCCCAGTCTCAATTGTTTACCCAAATCACAATACTGCTTTAGATCGCATATATCTGTACTGCAGATTCCATGTTTACAGCATCGCAGACAAAGAAAGTAGAAGTATTCATCAATTTTACAAATCATCTGCAAACCAGTGCTCTGAGATGAACTCCATACATCCTGAGGTCTGGGGTTCCATTCCAAAATTTGAGTTGAGGACTTCTGGTCCCACTTTGAATTGCTGCCAGAATGAGCCCGAGGCTTAGGCTGCGAAAGGAATCCAGAGCCCGGTGTTGCATGTCACTTCTGGTGCTACAGGAATCTCCTCCTGGAGCTATAGACTACCAATATAGCTATAGGCTGCAAATTCATAAAGGTCACTGATGCTTCTATAGAATCTACTGAACTTGGTGCTCTGGAAGCAAAAGACACACTCAAGACATGCAAAAACCCAATATGTAGTTTTCCAAATAAAGGCACTATATTTAATTGATAATAAGCCTGAAAAAAATTCCTATGACCTGACCTTGGATAGCCCTATAATATAGCCAAATGAGTTTTCATTAGATATATAAAACTGAAAAGTTTCCTACTTTGCACTATCAGGAAGAAGATAACAAACATTTAGTAAAGATTAATTACATGCCAGGTGCTTTTCAGCACACCTTATCTCATTTAATCCTCACAACAATCCTGGCCACTTTTTATAGTCAAGTAGCTAATAAATGGCAGAGCTAGGATTAAACCTATGTCTAGCTAGCTGATCCCCAAATCCTCATTTCTTCCACTAAACCATACTACCTCCTGTCTACTTTTCTCTGACAAATATGCTTTAACAATTCAAGAAGCAAAATGCCATGTGGTATTCTGGATTGGATTATGAAATAGAAGACAGACATCAGTGGGAAAATCTGCTGAATCCAAAGAAAGTCTATAGTTTAGTTAATAATATTGCACCAATGTTAATTTGTTTGGAGAAATGTATCATTGTAATGTCAAATGTTAATATTAGGGAAAACCAGGTAAAGAGTAGGTGGGAACTCTAGTATGAGTTTTCTGTAAGTCAAAATTATTCTAAAACAAAAAGCATATTTTTTAAAATTCAAGGAAGTTATGTATCTCAGATATTGCCTAAAACTGGATATCTAACTGGATATTTCCAATGGGGTGTAAAAATGTGGTCTTTTCTATGACTATGAATTTCAAATCAACCAGAGATCTCAATGCTGGCTTCATCAGGGTAGTACAGAAGCAAGTCAAATCCAAAATCAAATGACATCTTGGTTGACCAGCAATAAAATGCAGCCTGTCCACGGAAAAGAAAACTTCACCGAGTTGATCATGACAGCAGGTAAGCTAAACAGCTGCTCTATACTATGCTGAAATAGGCAGTTTTGGGTAATTGGGAAGCAGAAACACCACAAGGCCACCGTGAAGGAAGATGTTAGGATGATGTCATTCAAGTGTTGGATTTTGAGTAAGAGCACCAGCAGGTGGACCTAACTGACCCACAGAAATCAGACAAGCAGAGGTGGGTTCATCCTTTTTTGAGTTAAGACTTCATGCAAACCATGAAAGAGACATAACTGCAAAAGGCAGCGAACTCCACCCCCAGGCATTTCACCTCAAACCAGAGGGCAGTCTTCCATCTGTCTATGCTTATGCTGTTGAAAGGGCTGCTGATCCTGCACTGATCTCCTGGAAGACACCTGCACTTAGAAATGGAGGAATATCACCTTCAGAGGACTATTTGTACACTTACATAAAAAATGCTCATACAGAATACTTAAATGTTCATGCTTTAGAATAATCTAAAGCTCAGGTCTCTTCTCTACTCACTGAGCTAAGCACACTGATTAAAAATACTCTATATGCTTAGTCGCACCGTGTTCAACTCAGTTGTGCTGCCAGCTCTCCAGGTGAGTCAAGGTTAAATGCTTTTTGAAGTCTTCTTGTTTTTGTCTCCTCCGTGGGCTATTTATACGACTTATTTTAAGATTTTCAAGCACTTTCCCCTTTTTAATTTACCATAAATGTTTCCCCCTGGGAACATTCTCTAGTGACATTCTCTTCTGGACCCTTTTAAACATAAAATCCTTGATAAAGACATCTTGCAAAGGGAGGGAAAGGGAACTCAGCACATAGAGAAGCTTCTGAGCAGTCTTCTTTGAAATTTTGTCATCTGGATGCTTGACGGTGGTCTCTTTGTTAAGAGTTTAGCATCCGGAACTTAAGGCCACACAATTAATCCTCCCGCTGGAATCCTAGGGACTGTCTTTGAAAGAGTCTCCTGTCCAGTTTTCAGGCCACATTAGGTAATTTCCCGCCCAGGAGCACGGTCTAAAAAGAATGTCGGTGTTTCCCTTCAGGTATAGGTGCCTGGGGGTCAGAGGAGAGGGAAAGGCGAGGGGTGGAGTGCGAGGCGGGTGATCGACAGGGATAGAAACGGTGTCTCCTCCTCCCTCTGAATGTGAAATAGCCAATGAGGTGGCGCGGCCGGGCCGGCCGGGCCCCAGTGCCATATAGTATGCAGCAACCCGAGGAGTCACGTTGGGGGAACGGCAGCAAGCAGCTATCCTTTTACACTACTTTGCTCTAGCAGCTATCTTAATGGTGACTGCGTGGCCGGGGGGAAACCTGATCGGCCAGATCCAGCCGAAACCGGGAGGGAGGGAGTGGGCTTTCCGGAGGGGGGAGGAGGGAGGGAGACGAAGAAGGAGGAGTAAGAGAGGGGGAAAGAAAGAGGAAAAGAGTGCGAGGGAGTGAGGGAGGGAGGAAAATAAACAACAAAAAATGTCCTCTTCCTCCCCCACCGGGCAGATCGCAAGTGCGGCGGACATCAAGCAGGAGAATGGGATGGAAAGCGCCTCAGAAGGGCAGGAGGCGCCCCGAGAAGTGGCGGGGGGCGCGGCGGCGGGGCTGAGCCCCCCGGCTCCAGCCCCTTTCCCTCTGGAGCCGGGGGACGCCGCGGCGGCCGCCGCCAGGCTGAGCGGAGAGGAAGGGGCAGCGGCGGCGGCGGATCAGGTACAACTCCACTCGGAACTTCTGGGCAGGCACCACCACGCCGCGGCCGCCGTCGCCGCCGCGCAGACCCCCCTGGCCTTCTCGCCCGACCATGTCGCCTGCGTGTGCGAGGCGCTGCAGCAGGGGGGGAACCTGGACCGCCTGGCCCGGTTCCTGTGGTCCCTGCCCCAGAGCGACCTGCTACGTGGCAATGAGAGCCTGCTGAAGGCGCGGGCGCTGGTGGCCTTCCACCAGGGCATCTACCCCGAGCTCTACAGCATCCTCGAGAGCCACAGCTTCGAGTCGGCCAACCACCCGCTGCTGCAGCAGCTCTGGTACAAGGCGCGCTACACCGAGGCCGAGAGAGCCCGCGGGCGGCCCCTGGGCGCCGTGGACAAGTACCGGCTGCGCAGGAAATTCCCCCTGCCCCGCACCATCTGGGACGGCGAGGAGACGGTGTATTGTTTCAAGGAGAAGTCGCGCAACGCGCTCAAGGAGCTCTACAAGCAGAATCGCTACCCTTCGCCCGCCGAGAAGCGGCACCTGGCCAAGATCACCGGCCTCTCCCTCACCCAGGTCAGCAACTGGTTCAAGAACCGCCGGCAGCGCGATCGGAACCCCTCGGAGACCCAGTCCAAAAGGTGAGCGCCAACTTTCCTCCTCCTCCCCCTTCTTCTCCCCCACCCCCTTCCCAGCTTTCTTTTCCTCCAAGTGCTCGCAAACATGGCGCTTACCTTCCCCACCAGCCTGGTCCGGCTGCCCACCTCTCCCCGCCCCCCACCTCTCCCCGAGCGGGAGAAGGGGGGCGGCGGCGGTGGTGAGAGGCGGGGGAGCCTCCCTCCTCACCCTCCCCTCCCCCTCCTCCCCCCAGAAGTTTCTCGTCGCCCGCCTGGGTCTCAGTCCCCGCCCCCACCTCGGCTGGTCACTGCCGCGCAGTTTCCCACCCCCATCCCGCCGGCTTTGAAGTTGCCACTCTCTCCCGGGTTCTAGAGGGGCGCGGGAGCGTGTGTCGGCGCCGGAAAGGCAGCTCTCGTTGCCGCCCGAGGCCCTCGGAGGCTCCCGGGGCGGGCCGGGGTCTGCACCTCCACCGGGTCTCACCGGCCCGGCGCGTGCACGCGCTCCTTGACCGCCCCTTCCGCGGGTTCGGCCGCCGCCCCCCCCCCCCCCAAAGCCCCAGGCCTGCGCTGGAGGTCGCTCTGGACGCATGAGAGTGTGGGTGGGGGCTGGCGTTGGAGAAGGGGGCCTGGGGACGTCGAGGTTTTCTGTGACAGAGTTAATCATTCACCCTGCCCGCTGTGGTTCCCTTCGTGGCCGCGGCAACGTGGGGTGTTGGTGCGGCCGGGCTCTGCCGTGTTTTGAAACCTGATTCTGAACTCCTTCGGATCGGATTTCAGCGCCGCCGGGGCAGTGGGGCTGGAGGGCTTGCGTCCTTGGCCCCCGAACCCTGCACGGCTCCTCCTGGGACGGCGGTGAGGGGTGGGGACGCTATCCGTCCACACCTCCTCGAGCGCCCACCCTGGCAGGTTTGAACTTTCTGACTGGCAGGGTTTTTGACCCCAAGTGGTAGGAAAGATCGGGTCTTCCACCCCTATTGTGCGTCCTTTCGAGTCAGACACCTGGAGTGTGTTTCTGTGTGTTGTTGAGCGAACTAAGGAGAAGGTCGCCGAGAGAGATGGTGTCTCCAGCCGTGCGGGCATAAGACAGAACCCAAAAGCAGCTGGAAGGTTCTGCCCAGGGAAGGAATTTGGGAGCCGGGGAGCCCGCCCTGGCTGACCGAAGGTGATCACCCGGCGCGTTCCAGAGCCCGCCGCGGCCCGCCCTTGCCGCCCCTGCCCCTGCACCCTCGCCGGGGCCCAACGGCCCCGGAGCTCCTCGCCCAAGGCAGAGAGGGAGGCGCCGCGCCCGAGCCGGGCCTCCCGGTAACCAAAACAAAACGCGCACTGCGACCTGCGTGCATCCTTCCTCAGACTTGCGGGGACACCCAGAGGAGGCACGTTGGTAACCTCGCGTCTGCTTGGGGCCGCGGATCCCGTCGCTCGGAGCCCCGTCGGAATCCTCGGGGCCAGAGGCAGGGGGTGGGGGAGCGGGCGTGGCGCTCAGTCCAGCTGCCCTGCAGCCTCCGCTCCCCGGCTGGGCGCGTTCCTTGACTGCCCAGCCGCACTCTGCCGGCTGCGCACCCCCCCCTCAACTCCACACCCCCGCCCCCAGCCCAGTTGCCTGGTTTAGGCCCCTCTCCGGATCTACCTCCCACCCGCACCCCTGGTGAGTCACCCTCGCAGACGGCGACGGCGGCTCAGCCTCAGCTCGTAAATCAAAGCGCTTTCTGCGCTCCTGGCCCCGCAGCCCAAAGCCCGCGTAATCCCCTCCCCTCCGCATGAAAGCGAACCGACCGCGGGGCACTGCAGGGATGTGGATCCTCTCCTGGGTCAAGTCGCACCAAGCTTCCAAACTGCAGCTAACTGCCCCTTTCTCCTCCGCCCGGCCTCAGACCAAATGGGAAACCCCATCACTACCCCTCACCCGGGTTTGGCATTTCCTCCCGAGTCGGGGAGCTGTGGAGCCAACCCAGTCCCGTCTGGAGCAGAAGGACTGAGGGTGCTGGGGAAGGGGTCTGATGGTTACAAGGCTGCTGAGTGACCCACACCCTTTCCCTCCCACCTCACCAGGGCACCGGATGGTGTATATTAAATAGGCCCCTATGGCTTCTTTTGGATTCAAAGGCGACTGCACATAACAGTTCTTGGGTTGAAAGTGCCTTTCCTACATCAAGGACAGCCACTTTGTTGAATGAGAGAGTTGTCAGTCTGGTGGAGTAGAAGTTTGGGAGCAGGTGAGAAAATGATCTCTTGTTAACTAACTGGCAAACAAAACTGAACACTTCCCACCTCCTGCTCCTTCCACAGTTGCGTTTACTTCCAAAATCACACTAATCAGAATTGGTTTTAGGGAAGGGGAAGGCGTTCCTAAACAGGAAAGACTGATGCCTCCTCTAGTGAGTTTTTTCCCTGTGGTATAGGTGGCACAATTTAACAGGAAGGAATAAAGTGCTATAAAAATGTATACACAATTCTAATGGAAATCCTATTAGCTGAATTTACATCTTCCAGATCTCTGGAATTTATTATTGGGAAAATGATTGGGATAGGAGAGTTTATCGTCCCACATTCTCTATCTTTATGGTTAGAATGTCCTGACAGGCCTTACAGCTTAAATGAGACTAAAGACTTCCTGCTCTGCTTTCCTAAAATACTGCCTTTTAATGGCATTAGAGGCAGGTTTTCTAAACAAATGGCACTAGGTAGAATGTCATCCCTCTGACCTTCTGAATGTCTTTATTTCCCCTTGTCTGCAGTGAGTCAGATGGCAATCCCAGCACTGAAGATGAATCCAGCAAGGGCCATGAGGACTTGTCTCCTCATCCACTCTCCAGCTCATCGGACAGTGTCACCAACCTCAGCCTTTCCAGTCACATGGAGCCAGTTTATATGCAACAAATTGGAAATGCTAAGATATCATTAAGCTCTTCCGGAGTTTTGTTGAATGGAAGCTTGGTACCTGCAAGTACTTCACCTGTCTTTCTTAATGGTAATTCTTTCATTCAGGGACCCAATGGAGTTATCCTTAATGGATTAAATGTGGGAAATACACAGACCGTGTCACTGAACCCACCAAAAATTGCATCAAACATTGTGAGCAATGGTATATCCATGAGTGACATACTGGGGTCTTCCACCCAGGATGTGAAGGAATTCAAAGTCCTCCAGAGTTCTTCAGCTAACTCCGCAGCCACCACTTCCTACAGCCCCAGTGCCCCTGTGTCGTTCCCAGGGCTGATACCCAGCACTGAGGTAAAAAGAGAAGGCGTTCAAACAGTGGCTTCCCAGGATGGAGGCTCTGTAGTGACTTTTACTACACCAGTGCAAATTAACCAGTATGGCATTGTCCAGATCCCCAATTCCGGAGCAAACAGCCAGTTCCTTAATGGGAGCATTGGATTCTCTCCACTGCAGCTGCCTTCTGTTTCAGTAGCAGCTTCACAAGGTAAAAGTCTCATTCAGGACCATAATGCACTAGTGAATGTTTTAGCCAGCTGCTGCAAATGACGCATTTTGTGAGCGCTATAGATTGATGTTACTGTTCAGGTACCTTATTGGCTGCCACAGCTGCAGAAGAGCCTTGATTTGTTTCTCCTCCTTCACAACACCCATGTAATACCCAGCTTGGTTGGTTCCCTGGCATCATGGAGATGGGCTTTTATTTTCCTAACATCTGAATGGAAAAATACAGTTCATAGCAAATCTTGCCAGTTCTACAATTATAGAAATATGATAAGACAGTTGGTGCTTACAAAATAACCCATTGTTTGACATTTTAAGATTAAAAATTAATAATATTGCTAAGAACACAAAATTAGTCAAGCAATTGGTACAAATGGGTACACTTTACCTAAGCATTTTCTATCTGACCAAGAAGTGTTTTAGAAAAGCAAGCTAAAAAGACTGGATCAATTGTGTTTGATTCATGTTCCCCCTATAATTACAACTATCAGACCTAAAGGAAAACCAGATGAATATATGCTAGGGTGTCTGTTGCTCTGCACATATACTCCCCCCGCCTCCAAATGTGTAGGTTAGCCTTATTTTATATGTTTGTGACTTTACTGAAGGCAGCCTGCTGAAGAAAACACTGATCTGGAATTCGGGAAGCCTGAGGCTGACATGCTACTTTTTCACTGACTTGAAGCAAGTCTGGGTGGCTCTGTGTCATATTTTGTACATAGAAACAGGAATGGTTAGAATGGCCGTGGAGGTTGCATAGCACCTTAAACTTAGGAATGGGAGGCATTAATGCAGGTTTGCCTTCCTGTAAGCAAATCTGAATGTCCAGATTCCTGGAAAGCAAAATTAGGCATTGTTTTCCTTTAAAGATTAGCTTCCTTTAAAATGGCTTTATCAAAAAAAATCTCAATTTATGCACAGCTATAACCCACTTCAGCTTTTTGAGGCATTCATGGAAAAAGTGTTGAGTAAATTTCATTCTGTAAAATAAATTCTCAAGTAAAATGGTAAGAAAACATAAAACTCCTGCAGAATACCATGTACCTCTTCATTGTTCTAAGTTATGGAAAGGATGAAAATCACTTTCCAACAAAAATATAAGAAACCACAGGCAGGGAAAGTTAAAGTGCCTCATTTTACAATAATCTAATGTGAATCTAACCCCTCTTCTCTCTCTCTAGGACATTTCCAAACAGTAGATAACATTTTAAAGACAAAAAATTTTAGCAAAAAGTATGGTATGTACATTGGGGGAGAAGAAAAGCAGAAATACTTTTCACACATAATCTAGAAACATGCTATCATAGAAAATTATTACAAACCAATAGCTAATTTTTAAAATGGGACATTTCATATGAATAAGAATAAGCATTTTCAATTAAAATAGCTAAGGTCAAATGACTTAGCTGTCAATCCTTAGACGGTCTGGGTGAGTTGAAGGCATAAGTTTAACCAGATGGGTCCAGGAAGCCACTTTCCTTTATAGAAATGATGGACTGAAGTTCTCTGTAAAGCATTTGAGGATTCAGCCTTTCTCAAAAACAGATACTGAGCCTTGCTTTAAAATGTGTAGACAAGGAAGATTATCTTTCAGTAGTTAGGATTTATATGGAAAAGCAGAATATCTACATCTTTTACTCACCTCATAATCTGAGAAAACAAGGGTGTTTTTTTTTTCCTTACCATCATTACAAAGTAATACTTTGCACTTATGTCCTGTTTCATTTGGATTTTTAAACTGATTTTGAAATTAATTCAATTTATCATAATTCAAGTGCAGTTATACTTATGTATCAAGTTTTAGATCACATCTGCTTTTCCTCCTTCATTTGTGTGTTGTAATTTCTACACATTCAAAAATATTGTTTTATTTACATTTAATAGCTGTTGGGGAAAATGTCCTGTCCTATCATTTATGGTTCTCTCAAAAATAACTGTCATTTTGTTCACCTATTCACAGACAGAGAATTTCACAAATACATATACGTAACAAAATAAACCTCTATTTCAGATGGTTTATTTGTTACAGTTTAGCAGCCAACAAGAATTTTAAAGCACACTTAAGTCAAAGTCAGATTCATTTCATTTGTTTGGCCTGGAACAAACACTCATGTTAGGGAAGAACCCAAATATACATAGAAATGTTTTTCTTAACACCAGTATTTCCATGATGAACACTTTCTAGTGGTTACTAGAAAGTTTAAATACAGTGGTTTTTTGTTTGTTTGTTTGAAGACATTCCTTTGCATTTAAGGTGCTTAAAAAGTGTTTGGAAGACATAAAAACCAACTCAGTGACATTTATTTACCAATGCAAGTGGTACTGTAATCACAATTACTCTAATTCAAGAAGAAAAATGTTTTGGGAGAATTATTTTAAACATTGGGCTATCTTCTCAAAGTAATAGTTTACTGAACATCTAATTCAAGTCAGGGTAAACAACCCATCTGAATACCTCTGTCACAAAATTCCCTCAAGTCCACCTTTCTTTTCAGTGGCAAGAAAATTGCCATCATTCCACTAGGCCTATGTAAAGACTCGAAAAAAAAAGGGGGGGGGTTATTTGGTAATAGGAGTGAGGGGAAGGCTTTAATTCAAATGTATTGTCTGAGTTACCAGATTTTGAACTCCTCAGCTTTCTACTTATGTTTTTGGGGTTTGTTTTGTTTTGTTTTGTTTCCTGTTTCTAGTCTATGTAGACCATTCTAGTGAGAGCCTTAAGATAAAAACCTTTCAGAGAAGCATTGGCTGTAGTTATTCATGTTAATCTGTGTTCTTAAAAATACATTTAATTATTATCATTAATTCTTCCTATCACTTGCAACACTGAAAATTCAGAACTGGCACAGCAAAAGTAAAAAGAACTCTTGAGTGTTCTATTGACTTGATATTACTTTATGGTTAGTTTGGTGAAAGTTTGCAACATGCCTGTACAGGTTTATATGGTTAACTTCAAGCCCCGGGCAACTTGTTTTATGGGTATTTTCTACATTTCCATTTATGTCAGCCACTGAACTTGTTCCAAACAAAGGCATTTTATTTTGCATTTGTGTTTTCTAGTTGTAACTGGCAGAACTGGCTACCACTATCAACTGATAGAAATCAAGTTGGTAATAGTCAACCAGAAACTTGACTGAAATTAGAACTTGGAAAAACCTTTGGTTTTTCATACTTTGTTTCTAAACCAGCACTTCTCACTCCCACTCTGTCATCGGCATTATTTGGGAATTTGAAATACACCTGTTCTAGGACTTGCTGAGTCAGATTCTCGGGAGTAGAGCCTGGGAATCTGTAGTTTTGAGTGCTCAAGTTGATTATGCTGGACCTGAGGGGAAAAAAAATCACGTGTGTCAAAAAAGTGATCTTTTTTTCTTTCCCTATCAGTTCTGTAAATGATAATCTGTACTTTTTTTTTTTAGGTAATATTTCAGTAAATTCAAGCACTTCAGATGGGAGCACATTTACAAGTGAGTCCACCACAGTCCAGCAAGGAAAGGTTTTCTTGAGCTCTCTGGCTCCCAGTGCAGTGGTATACACTGTTCCTAATTCAGGCCAGACTATAGGATCTGTTAAACAGGAGGGCTTGGAGAGGAGCCTCGTATTTTCTCAGTTGATGCCTGTCAATCAGAATGCACAAATAAATGCAAACCTGTCTTCTGAAAATATCTCGGGGAGTAGCCTCCATCCCCTGGCCTCCTCATTAGTTAATGTATCCCCAACTCACAATTTTTCCCTGACTCCCCCTACCTTGCTAAATCCCACTGAGCTAAACCCTGACATTGCTGATAGCCAGCCAATGTCTGCACCTGTGGCAAGCAAATCTACTGTGACATCTGTCAGCAACACTAACTATGCAACTCTTCAGAACTGTTCCCTTATTACTGGTCAAGATCTATTGTCAGTCCCCATGACCCAGGCTGCCCTTGGGGAAATTGTTCCTACAGCTGAAGACCAGGTGGGTCACCCCTCCCCAGCAGTACACCAGGATTTCGTCAGAGAACATCGTTTGGTTCTGCAATCAGTAGCTAATATAAAAGAGAATTTCTTAAATTCTGAGGGCAAAGCCACAAGCAACTTGATGATGCTGGACTCAAAATCCAAGTATGTCCTAGAGGGCATGGTTGAGACTGCCTGTGAAGACCTGGAAACAGACAAAAAAGAGCTCGCCAAGCTCCAAACTGTCCAATTGGATGAAGATATGCAAGACTTATAAACTTGATTTCTCTCTCTCTCTGTCTCTTCTTTTTTCTGGCATCAGCAGGCAGATCTTTTCACAAAGCCCTGAGGACATAAGGAATTTTCCCATTTATAGGGAAAACACTAGTTTTGTGAGTAAATGATTTCATGAGACTGGATTGATCTGCATGAAGATCACAGTTAAATATACAGGAGTAGAACTGCATTGCTGCAGCCTTTTTGTTCACATATGTTGTCTTTTAAATAGAGGGAGACAAAGGAACAAGATGAAATATATCAACTCAAAGTGTATCATTTGGCTGACTTAATATAACTCTAAGGTCAAATGGAACTTGATAGTTATTTAAAAGTGTATCCACCTGACATTGGCATTAGAAACAATACGGTTGTTTTTGTTTACCTTCACTCCACGGGCATTGATGAGGTTGAGAAGCATACAAGGTACTCCACACATATTCTAAGGGTTTGTTTTTGAATATAAGCATTTCTGTTTTTCAGCATTTTTGTGACAGTCTTGGTTTGTCTCTACACATTTCCAAATGTGCTTGCTAATAGTCCAGTGGGGCTGAGGTTTGCAACTCCACTAAAAACTCTGAAACAAACTTCAGTATGAGTGTAAATATATTAGTCCTGTAAGCAAGGATTTGAGGAATTACAGTGAATTTTATTTATGCTGTATATGTTTCTCTTATACTTCAGACACTATGAACTGAAAAGAAAAAAAAATGTTTTCTTACTGTTTAATTTATTTTTATTGTTTGAACAGGAAGTGAACATAGTTATTTCCAACAAAGTTTTACTTTTTGTAGGATTTTAAAAGTAATGATTTTTATCAGGAGTCTATTATGGTCAATATTAATAACACTGAAACAGGCAGTCTGACTCCCAATATTGGAATTTTGGTACTTTTTTTCATATCCTTGTTCTTTATTTAGCAACTCTCTGATTCATTTAAATATTTTTTCTATAGAATTCTATGTGCCTTTTTACCTTGTGGCCTTTTTATTATTCTTACCAAGGTACAGAAGTGTCAACAGAAGCACTGATGGCTCTTCCTATCTAACAGGGTTATTTTCACCACAAAATTGCTTTAAATCTGAAGAACTTAGGTTTCACTTGTGTGATTATGTATGTTTATGACATAAACTGATGAATGACTAATTATTGTTGATGCTCTTCATTACAATGAAAATACCAATCATAGATTACCATGTAAAATGAATCCTATAGGCTACAAAAAACCATTTTAAACTAAAGAAAGACTATGTAAGTTCTCTTGAGCAAAAGTCTGTCCTGATGAAACTTAGTTCTAAGTGTTTTGAATCAGTTGTTACATTATGACATACAGCTGTTATTTGCACTATATTATGGTGTCTTGTTTGGCAGTCAATCTTTTGGGGTTTCTTTAGGAAGCTTGCTTGATAATGTGAGCTCTGGTTATAGATTTTATCAGGACTGAACACAAAGTGGAATAATGCAAATACATTTATGTAGTGAGTAAAGTCTCTGGTGTGTGCAAAGCAAGTAATGTGAGAAAATGATCTCTTCAGAGATGACTTAAAGTTGTTGAACATAAAAGATATTACCAATCTTGCCATCTTCAAGGTCAGAACGAAGAGTGTACTTTTGATCTCTGCATGCCCGTCTGCTGAAAATGTTGCGTAAGGGCCATAGAGGACTTACCCTTTGTTGTTATTGCAAATGGAACTTGCAGGCGTAGATGAAGAGCCCTCTCAAGACTTCCTCCTATCATTTGGTTAAAGAACCCAGATCCCACCTTTATGGAAGTAGTGAATGTTCTTAAACTGCTGAAACTACAGTTACTTGCCTTTTTTTTTCAAAGTCAGGTGTTTTCAACTTCTCTTCCACTCCATCACTACTTATACAGCTTGTTTTTTTCTTTAGGTGTGTGCTGATCATGTTACTGAGATTAAATGGTTCTGTAGTGTAGTTTACATGAAACATGATGTTTTTCACTTGATGGCTACAGATAGTAAGAGTTTTTGTTCATTATTTTAAAATACCCATCGAATCAGGGAGATGGGAAGGTTTAAAAGTTATATATATTCTATATATAACTGGAAAAGTTTCATATGTTTTCCAAAAATATAATAAGTCTCTCTTTTATTCACAGTTCTTCCTCTTTTTTCCCTTAAGAAAAAGGAAAGATAGCACAAAACTTAAGACTTACCTAGGAAACTCATTCATACTCCCAACTTGATGTAATTATATGCCCGCAATTACTCCAGGTAGCTATACAATATACCAGGTAAGAATAAATGCACATTATAAAGAACTTATTGTTCTTTTCTATTCTTTCAGTAAAATAAGGGCCAGTTGGTGTATAGGCCATACATATGTGAATGAAATAAGATATAAACCCCATGATCTCCTTGCACAGAATTGCAAATGTTTTTTTTGCAATACCAAGGGCCAGTCTCAGAACCCTTGGAGTTCATGTGGCAGAATTTCTCTTACATAAACCAATGCTTGAAGATGCTGCAAGTGACCCTCAAATGATCCCCAAAGAGGAGTCAGAATAGGGGTAAAAACTCTCCCTGCAAACCCCAAACCCTGCTGCTGGCTGTGGGATTTTTGGTGTGAGGCTATCTATGCACTCTGTCTGCCAGAATTTGGCATTTAGCTCTTAGTTACATCTAGTAAACACCAGTTTTATCAATTAAAGAGAAGGTGCATTTGTTCCTCAATCAAGCAAGAACACCTGTGTTGTAGTGTTTTATAGTTCATGTATATTTATAGTGATGAAAAGACTGAATTGTACACATGTTTCAGTGCCTTTCTTGCGTTATGAAAGGCAAGTAGACGTTATAGCCATAGATAAAAACTCGTAGTTAAATTGCACACTGACCTTAAGCCTCCCTGTATATGCCCTTGCATTTTGCATGTCAAAAGTTGGATTATTGGGCACGTGTTGAAGCCTGCCCTGCTACGTTAGGCAAGTGTGCATTAGTACATAGACAGAAGTTCTTCATTCTTTCACAATGTTTTTGACAGATCATCTCATCATAAAAATATAAGTAATTCAGGAAATTTGTGGGGAAAAGAATTACGTTTTACAAAAGATGTTTCAAAGTCTTCCTAGAACTTAGATGATAGAGCCTAACAGTTATTTTGTATCTAGTTGATACATTTCATGTTAATTTAATATCACAGTACATTTTATTAATCAAAATTATGTAGCATGTGACTCTCTTGGCTTTCAGGGTTCTCAATTTTTGTTCTTTTGTTGCATGTACTGTATGTTTAGAGGAGACCAGTTATATACTCAATATGGTTTTACTGTGCCTTACACAAAGAGAAAATCTATACAGAATGTATATCGTGGGGTGGGGTAACAGAGTCTCTACTGCACTGTTAGGTGATGGCACACAGAGCATGTCCCAGAACATTTCTGTGCTTAATTACCCAACCAAAGAGATCTAAAGTATGTATGTTGTACTGTAATAGGGGTTTATGCCTGGACAATTAAGTGTTTTATTTGTTTTCTGAAATGATGTGAACTTATTTTTCTAAACAGTATGCTAAATAAACTTTATATTTATACATACCTTGTGTTTAAAAGGTTATTTATCGGGGTGCCTGGGTGGCTCGGTCGGTTAAACGTCCAACTTCGGCTCAGGTCATGATCTCACAGTTTGTGGATTCGAGCCCCGCGTCAGGCTCTGTGCTGACAGCCAGCTCGGAGCCTGGAGCCTGTTTCAGATTCCGTATCTCCCTCTCTCTCTGACCCTCCTCTGCTCGCTCTGCCTCTCAGATTAAAAAAAATAAAAAGTTATTTATCCCTGGAAAAACAGAACAGTAAGGAAAAAGAAAAACCCACACAAACATTTCAGAGCCTGGCAGACACAAGGGCAATAGGAGTCCCTTTAGAACAGTCTCTGTTAGTCTTCGTATAAAATTATGCAATTCACTTAATTGTATTGCATAGTCAGAGCTGAATGATAAGATTTTATCTTCTTTAAAGGAAAGGAATATGTCTTATTCATTTAGGTGTTCCAAAATCTGACCCTCATACTCTAGAAGGTATAGTGGAATTAAATTCAGTGATCCAAGGTCCTTTCCATGCCCAGCCTTACTGGAAGAGCTTTATATAATCCATCTTTAAAGCATTCCCATTAGCCAAAGTCTGATTACACTGCAGTGGGGTCCACCAGTGGTTTGGCATAAAGTTACAGACACAACTGCACCACACAGTGTGTAGATCACTCGGCCCTGCTACAGTTTGATCCTACCTTTAAAAGTACATGACCTCTGATTTCATATGCCTCCCACACGGAAATGAAGAGGAGCCTAGATAAAGGAGATTGGGACTAACTGTACAATTGTATTACAAAACTAGTTCAAGCCATCAGATTAGTTTCAGATATGTCTAGACTTTTTTACAGTCTTTTCAGCCACTTCATTTGTTTAGTAATTTTCTATGTAGTTAAACGAGTGAGTTATAGTGAACAGTGTCTCACTGAGCATAGGATCAGAGTATGGTGGAGTAATTACATTTTATAACACCTTAACTAAACAAATATTTTAAAACATTTGACAGGTCACTGACCTACTTCAAACATTTATGGCTCTGCAGAATCTAGCAAACTAAATAAAACCGCTCAAGGGGAATTCAAGACTTTCAGTATATGATTCCGTCCCACTTTTCCTGTTTCCCTTAGGAAATAGTAAGTGTGAGGTACGTGGGTGGCTCAGTCAGTTGAGCATCTGGCTTCCGCTCAGGTCATGATCTCATGGCTCACGGGTTCAAGCCCCACATCGGGCTCTGTGCTGACAGCTCGGAGCCTGGAGCCTGCTTCAGATTCTGTGTCTCCCCCTCTCTCTGCCCCTCCCCCACTTGTGCTCTGTCTCTCTCTCTCAAAAATAAACTTTTTTTTTTTTTTAATTTAAGAAATAGTGTGGAGTTGCTGGCTGGCTCAGTTGGTGGAGTATGTGACTCTTGATCTCAGGTTTGTGAGTTCAAACCCCATGTTGTGTATAGAGCTTACTTAGTAAAAGAGAATAAATGTGGAAATCTACCTTCGTACGTCCCGACTTTTGATAAAAATAGATAGTAAATAAAGAAAGATACATTCAAATAATGATCAGTACTATAAAATCAATATACAGGGTAATGAAAGTGAGCATGGAGAATGGTAGAGGTGGGGACATGGGTTAGATTGGTCAAGGAAAGTCTCAAGGAAGTAAACTGCCAACAGGCTTGAATGAAGAGAGAGAACCAGCCCACAAGACCTAGAAAAATAGCATTCCAGACCTAGGGGACAGCAGATACCAAGGCCCTGAGGGAGAAGCAGAGTGTGGGGATCGCAGTGTTGATCCCAGGAGACATTTAGTAGGCCATCTAGACAGAGAGATAGGCAGGTACCAGGTCACAGGTAGAACTTAATTGGTCTGTGCTAAATACTTTGGGTTTGAGTCAGAGAAGCAAGAATGAAATAAAATGATTTATGCTTTAAAATATCACTATGTCAATTCTTTGGAGAATGGCATTGTAGGAGGCCATTCTTGTGAGGGAAGGAATTAGGAAACTATGTCATGTTGTCCTAAGCTGTTGGACAGGAAATACTTCAGGAGCTGTTGAAGCATGTATGGCAGTTTTTCCCCCAAATGTCTCCAAAATTTTGTCCTCTACAAACCTTCTGTCTACTCTGCCTCCTGCTGTTAGTCAAAGCTGCCAGCTTCTTGCTAGGACAGTCCCAGTCTGAGCCTGTGCCCTGAACTCCAGTCTGGTACATCCAATTCCCTAAAGGATATTTTCAGAATGTCCCAGTCACCTATGACTCTATATATGAAAATTTTGAACTATTATCTTTGCCTTAAGCTTGTTTCTCTCTCTGTTCCTCATTTGTAGTAGCAGTCATTCATCCATTGGCCAAATAAAAAATCTAGGACTCACTCTGGAGTCTTCTCTCTCTTTCTTCCCACCTCCCCCACCAAATCACTACATTTCTCCATTGCTGCTTCTTTACTGTCTCTTGAATAAGTGCTGTCCCCTCCATTTCTACAGTTACTATAGTTTACGCACTTATCCTTTTTTTAAGATTTTACTTTTTTTAAGTTTATTATTTATTTTTGAAAGAGAGATGATGCGCAGGGGAAGGGGGGAAGAGAGAGGGAGAGAGAGAGAGAATCCCAAGTAGGCTCTGCACTGTCAACACAGAGCCCAATGTGGGGCTCAAACTCATAAACAGGGAGATCATGACCTGAGCTGAAACCAAGAGTTGATCACTTAACCGACCAAGCCACCCAGGTGCCCTCAAGACTTTTTAAAGCAATCTCTAGTTGAACTGACAATCCTGAGATCCAAAGATGCACGTTCTACCGACTGAGCCAGCAAGGTGTCCCAGCATTTACCATTTCTTGACTGAATTATGACAACTACCTCTTATTTGGTATCTGTGTCTGGTCCTCATTCCAAGCTACAGTACAATTATACTTCAATGCAACT